CCCTCCATTTGATATCTTACGTTTTTCTTTCTTTTTTCTTGTTCTGAAACACGGAACGAGAAATAAAAATGTTAATTGATCTTCACTTTTATAGTTCACATATACCAATGAGTCTGGATGGAGTAGAAATCATTGCAAATGGATCAGGATCCTATTTTGAGTTAAGAAAAGCATATGTAACAGTTGATCTTGTGAAGTCGGCCACATTTAAGGTATGATACAAATTACAAAGATATCACATTAAAATAACTCCTTTTAATGTTTTCATTTCCTTTGAAACTAAAGAACTATACTTTTATTTATGTAGGCAGGAGGTTGTTACATGTTCAGCAATCTTAGAGGATGTGATGGCCAAAGAGTATATTTTAATGGTTGCTCCTGTATTGCTGTTAATGGTCACATAACGAATAGAGGAAAACAGTTCTCTCTGGCCGAAGTGGTATGTAATAACTATAAATATTTCCATGAATTGATAAAATGATTAAATATGGAAATCTGTTAAGTAATGTTTTATGAGCACGATCTTTAGCCCTAGCATTGTATGATGCATTATACCTGGTGAAAAGGGCAATACAAATTCTATGGGATTGGTGTTCTAAGCATTAACATCTGAATATGCAATTATTGACAAAACTTAAAAAAATATCATGTTTGAAATGTCTATAATGTGCATTTTATGTCCTATTTCAATAAAAATATATTTTATTTTATCCAATAACCTTTATATGTTGTTTACTAACATGTTGCAAGTACATTAAATAGTTCATTATTGTACCCAATACAGTAAAGCTTCCTGTTGAAGAAAATATGGCTCGTGTTACTGTCAACTGCTCCAATGTACTGTCAATAGAGCTACTGAAGTCAATATCATAAATGGTGCTACTGAAGTCAGTCCATTTATCATATAGGCATTCAGTTAGAAAATATGTTGAAAAGTTTAGAAGGTAATTGAATATGATAAAATGTGTAGTGGAAGCTGTTTATTGATATGATTCCTGGCCACAGATATTATGATACTATGAATTGATTATTATCAATAGATGAAAAATTCCAACTGAAGATTATCAAATGAAAAAGATACCTACTTCTGTAGTTAACTACAAGAGACACATCCATTCATAATTCGTGTATGCATTCCCCATGAAAAAAATTCTTATAATTTAAAATCATATTACCATGATAGACGCAGTTTCTGTAATTAAATAAAAAAATTTTAAAAAAAGCCTCAGTTAAGGTCCGAGTCTGATTTTCTCTGAGCATTCCATTACTGTAAATCTTGTACTCAAAATGCTTGTGAAAATTATCTGACCTGTGCTGAACACTTGAAAATTTCTAATACCTTCCTCATTTTTGCCATTGTTGGAGATAGAGATGTTTCCATAGCATCATCATAATTTTCTTCTTCACACTCTCCTGCTGTAAATTGTGAGTTTAGATTTTACACATGTCATCTTGTGTCTGTCCAGTAGATGTAGGGATGTTTTCATCCTTAGCCATCCATTTCTGAAATTCATTTTCCATCATTTTCGGTGGTGAAGTGGGAAAGATTTATTCTCTGTGTGATGTTTCTTTTGAAGAACTCCCGTGGTGGAAACAGTTCTGAAATGTATATGCCGTCCTTTTATATCATGACATAGCTAAAAGATGTAGGGCATCAAGATCATTTGTTTTCTTAGCAGAAGCACTCATTCCTTGTTTCTTTTCCATGACCTGCATAAAACAAATAATATCTGTTTTGTCTTTTGTGAGTTACAACCTTTAAAGACTCAAAATGATCTATGATTGAAATGTGTTTCAATATAATAATAACTAAAACAAATTCTGATCACAATAAACATTTTCTTGATCTTGTAATATCAGTCCAGGTAGGACATCATCAAAATAATATTAACCAAATGAACTCGTTTACAATGATTACAAAAAGCGGTGTCTATTGTATTTTGCACATGGCGAAAAGACCATTAGGCGTTCATTAGTAATTGTACACTCATGCTACCATTCTTGTAAATAATCAGATTTTATACAATTTATGCTATCTTTTCTTAATCAGTACTTCTCTTAAGAACCAGTCTCTTCAAATATTTTTAGACTGCAGAAAATTATATAATTATTTTATTTCATATAATACAAATTATTTTTTACATCTAAGTTTTTCAGTTTTCAAACACAATGCTTCAGAGGCTTTTGCGCCCATATCTTCAGGTCGAATGAAAAGTACAATTGATCTCAATTAATAAATGTATATTTTGCCTCCTTTAAAGTCTTGATATTTAGCATATTTAAAACAAACTTACTGTTCTTTGATGTAACAAGTTTTTAGGTCCTACAGAAGTTAACACATTATCTGGTTTATTCTGACCCGCCGGGAAAACTTGTACATTGTTTAAATGCCTTAGTTTTCAAAACTTTTTCTTTAAAACTTCTTTTTGAAATTTAGAAAAGATTTACTTATTAAATTACCAATTTTAAGAAAGTAGAGTGCACCCATTTTAATACCTGCGTCACGAACAGTAATCCTACTGACACTCATTTCTGGAACCAGATTTGAAGCGACTTTGAGGCATGAGTGGAATGGGAAAGGGAAGTTTCATTCTATAATGAAACCTGAATATGATTCTGATTTTGTTTCTCTTGCCATTCTTTAATTATATTGTCAAATAGAATTCAATGACCCACAGATTCTTGGAGTAGAGAGGGTACAAAGATAGAATAATAATGGAAACGCTACAGATTAAAATTAGGCAGACCATGAATTTAATGACTGAATTAAACTCATTTACAAACAACCATAACAACTAACTATATATTAAAGATTTGCAAGAGAAATAAAATCAGAATTAAATTCAGGTTTCATTACAGAATTAGTCTTCCCCTTCTCCAGTTCCACTCGCGCCTTGAAGTCACTCTGAATCTTGTTCCAGAACATGCAAGTGTCAGCAGGAATACTGTTTGTCACAAATAGATGAGCTCTACTTTCTTAAAATTGCTAATTTAATAAGTGAATATTTCCTAAATTTCAAAACACTTTTTAATGAAAATTGTCTAAAAACTTTTAGGCATTTAAACGATGTATTAATTGAGGTCAATTGTATTTTTCATTAGACCTGAAGATATGAGCACAATAGCTTCTGAAACATTGTGTTTGAAAACTGAAAAATTTAGATGTAAAATTTAATTATTATTGTATCAAATAAAATAATTATATAATTATCTGCTGTCTAAAATATTTTAAAGGGACTGGTTCTCAAGAGAAATTTGAATAATCAGCTTACTTGCACATCTAGCCAGTGGCAAAATAAATAATCATGGAGTAAGGTAAAATTTCATATTTTCATCTAAAAATAAGAAGTCACAAATTGCTTGGGGACCTCATTATCCCTTAGGGTGCAGCTGGTTTCTAAAGCAGCATAGAAATGCTCTCTCCAAAAACCTTTTTTGCTTTCTATATTTCTGATTGTGAATCACAAAAGATTTATTCTGCACTGACAAAAAGATTGTTCATGTTGATAATCACCTGTGGCATTAGGCTTGTAGTTAAGCAACAGTCTTAAGTGTGTATTGCATTAAATAATGCTTTTTGGACTTGGTAGATGCATCATGTTGAAGATTAGGATATCACTAGTGTAGTATGTGTTAAATTTTATTAATTCTGAGATGATTTGATTTAACAGTATGATTCTTAGAATATTTTATTAATTTTTATAGGAAGTTGTAGTTGCAACAATAGATCTTGAAGATATAAGAACTTATCGAAATGCCATTCGCTCACGTAGCCATTTAGCAGCAGAGAGCCCTTCGTTTCCACGTATTAATGTTGACTTCTCAATCTCTGAAGATTCTGATGTTCCATGTTTTGTACCAATTGATTGGCAATACTTAACTCCTGAAGAAGAAATTGAAATGGGACCAGCATGTTGGCTATGGGATTACTTGAGGTAAGAAGTTGTGTGTAATGAATGAAACTAGGTTTGTTATTTCCTTCCTTTCTCTTTTTTTTCCTATAGTAAATTTGTTCTAAATATATGAGAGTAGTAGTGCTCACTCAAAATGTTTTTGAAATTTGTTTTCAAGCTGATATTTTATGTAAGGTTTTTGTCAGCAAGTGAAGACCTTCATTTAAACTCTCATGTCTGATTCAAAACAAGCATTGAATGCTTATTGTTCTGCCAAAAAATTCATTAGCATGGACCTCTGAAATTATGGAGTCCTGAAATTGTTCTTCATATCATTGTCTTTGCACAGGAACATTGTATGTCCATTCATGGTAATTTTTTAGCTGATGTCATTTTTGGAGACCTCTAGTTCATATCTACCTAGTGTACAAAGATTATATGTCTTTATGAGGGGGATCATTTTTTCCCCCCCACAGCAAACAATGTTTCTTCATAAGTTACTACACCTTTTCAAGCTTTCAAACTTAGTTTTCTTGAAACCAAGAATTCTATACTTGTAATACATGTGTCCTAAGCCATTAATACGAAATAGGGTAATACGTGCCTCTAGTTTTTTTGCTATTGTCCATAACATTTTACTTAAAGACATTAAAAATGAATTCCTTTGATTAAGTCAAGTTTTTTTTGCCTGGTCAATTTGCAAATAAAATTTATCATAAATGTGTCTTCCTGCTGTGATTTTGGAAGCAATTATAAATAATTTCTTCTTAAAAGTAAATAAGGCATTATGTAGCTGACCTTTTGACTAAAATATATTTAAAAAACCTTGAAGATGACTGAAAGAAAACTGAATATTATTTGGAATTTTGATTCTGTTTACTGATGTTATTTCAAGAGATGTAAAATATTTTCTACATGAGTATGCACATGGGACTCGTATTATTTACAGTTAAGAACAAAACATATGGATTATTATGTTTTTAAATGAGATTTTAAATGCATTAAAATTTTTGTGTATTTTTAGGCGATCGGGGCAAGGAGGAATCTTCCTTCCATTAAGTGGTGGTGTTGATTCATCCAGTGTTGCTTGTATTGTATTCTCAATGTGTAATATGATTGTCAATGCTGTTCAATCTGGAGGTAATAAGAATTATGTTAATAGTAATATTAATTTTGCTAATATTATTGTTTTTTATCGTTGTCTTAATCTGTATGTATAAAAGTAAGCTTAAATTTCTGATAAATTTAAAATAACAGAGGTTGTATGTACTGTTTCCTGATAGAGTGTTTGATGTTTTAGATGAAACTGCTTTAGCAGATGTTCGTCGAATTGTTTGTGATTCTGATTATACACCATCTAATGCTCGTGATTTATGTAACAAAATATTTGTAACTTGTTACATGGGTAGTGAAAATTCATCTGCTTTGACAAAAGCTCGAGCCAATTCTCTTGCTTCTGCCATAGGAAGGTGTGTCATAATTTCATGGTTGTCCAATTTCTATGCATCTTGAACATTCACTTCAATTCAATAAGGAAAAATTATTTATTGCAGTTACCATTGTTCTATATCTATTGATATAGCAGTAACAGCTGTACTTGGGATTTTTACTACAGCTACTGGACTGATTCCAAAATATAGATCACAGGGGGGCCATGCAAGAGAGGAGCTTGCTTTGCAAAATGTGCAGGTAAATATATATTTTTTTTTTTTTTTAGTTGATAGCAACACAGCATTAAGCAGTTAGATTATAAACAAAAAAATTGATGCATGGGAATTTAAAATAAATAATAAATTACTGCTTAACAATATGGGAATTATTATTTGGCATTGTTACCGTTGTCCAAAATATTGTGAAATTATTTATTTTATTTTCAGTGTCTTGTCTACTGTCGATTTTTTAATTTTGTTAATTTTTTTCTTAATTATGATCTTTATGCATGAGGTTAGGATACACAATTAAGATATTGCACCTTTGGAATTTTAAGAATTCAAAGACAGCAGAATGTTAAGAACACTTCAGCAGACATAGGAACTGTATATTGCCGTAGGAGTAAAATAAATTTTTTAATTTTAAGTTAATTTCCTGTTTTGATATTTAACATTATTAGAAGATTGTCCTTTTGTCAGGTTAAAATCAAAATCTGAAGAAAGAAAAAAGTTATCTTGCACCCGAAACTTATTGTTTCCATTAGTGAACACTTTGTCATTCAAGTTTGTTGTGTCATGGTTATTGTGAACATTAATCATGTGTTCTGCCTAAAAGAAGTTAAGGTTTTGCTTTATCTACACCTGATTTTTTTTTATTTCTGTGAAAATATCTTTTCATTGACAACCAAACTTTACCTTTCTTACATTGCTGCAGTTGAAATAGAAAGCAGAGTTTTGAACATTTATGAAAACAAATTCTGAGAAGTGTATTAGAATGATAGTATTTCTAAATGCATGTAATATAAAAGTCCCCAGACCTCAAACTTAAGTGAACAAAAGAATCTTTTTAAACTCTTGTGTCACTAATATTGTTTTAACATACTCTTGTCCTTACTCTTGTTATAGGCTCGTCTAAGGATGGTGTTAGCATACCTATTTGCTCAGTTAATGTTATGGGTGAGACAAAGATCAGGTGGTCTTCTTGTCCTTGGTTCATCAAATGTTGATGAAGCACTTCGGGGCTATATGACCAAGTACGACTGCTCCAGTGCTGATATAAATCCAATTGGTGGAATTTCAAAAGCTGATCTCAGGAGCTTCCTCAAGCATATGTCTGAAAAGTATGTTTTTGTTGTGTGTTTGTATACTGGTCTTTGTAAATTATTGATAAATCTTTCTTTCCAATTTTTAATTTTCTATTCATTAGATCCAGCTTTAAGAGCAATGCCAGTTGCTGAAACTTTATTACCTTTTTTCCTCACCCCAAAAAATATATCAAACTTTCCTTTAGGCTTCAATGTTTGATACTGAATATCATTCATGAACACTTACTAGTAATGTTGCTTCATTAATTATTAAAATGCATTTCTAATGTCCGAATGTAGATGCAGTTGGTCTTAATGTATTTGCACTTTGTGATTTGCGAATTCACAGGTTGAACAAAATATTTGCATTCATTATACCCTCAAAAAAAATCTATGGAAGCATCAGTAAAAATTTTAGTTTATGAAGAGACTATGGTTTGTGAGAAAGTTCAGGACAACACAAAATTAGTTAAAAATACATTCTGCCGGTTGCAGAGACACATAATTCTCTCTACATCCTAATGAAAAAACAGCATCCACAGAGCAGAAAAACTAGGATCTTCAACCAAAAAGCATTAATTGACCTTAATCTTAAGAATCCATGTACTGATGTGTTAGTGTGACAAATATCTGTTAGTCACTACTGCACTCAATTTTTACATCAAACGTTTGTGTCACAAACATTTTTTTAAGGGAAATATAGTAAGGTGTTGTTTAAATGGAGTTGAACTGTTTGGAACCACGACTAGGGTCATTTTTAATATTTGATCTATAAGAAGTAAAAATAGGGTAAATCGTACAATAAACTTCATTCATGTTTTTCAGGTGACTGAAGGAAAAAAATATATGTGAGAAAAATGTGTATCTGAAAATGAGGCAAAAAGGTGCAAAAATAAAAACTCAATAATTTGATCACATTGTGTTTGAAAATAATATGCTCAATACATAAAATTTTCAAAATTTCTCACTTTTGAAAAGAGTCTCATCTTAGACCATATGCTTTTCTCTGCGCCTAAAGTATAAATTTCCGCCCTCAAAATGTGACAGCTGACCCATAAACGCTTGCATTACTTGATTCCTGTTCGTCAAACAGGCCAGATGTTTACTGTGCAATGTTGACGAACATTTCTCAAATGCCGTACCAGGTGGCAAGCAAACATTTCACAAAGCCATAGGCACACTAGTGTCCTTATCCTTGCACCCTGTGGTTTTGTTTAGTCTCAACAGTTCCGATCAGGTTCCAATGAAAGGCTGAGTGGCCTTTCCTACCAAAAAAATCCAAACAACTCAAACACTGAACCAAACCCAAATTCCTTGGATTCCTCTCGAATGGCATAACCTTTCTCACTTACTGGTCATATGTCAGTGTATACATAATCAGGACGTATAAGCATAAAATACATAAAAACCTAAAATGTATATCTGAAATAATGTAAAATGGAAAATGTAGGAATTTAACCGAGTCTTCTAAACAATGCGTAAACGTTAAAAATGTATTTGTGCAAAACGTATTAATGGAATATTCTTGCTTAACATGGAATTTGACATAACAGACAAATTTCCCAGGAAAGAAAAATTGTAATCAACTGGATATTTATTTGGTTAACATGAAATTGTTGTAATGCAAACTATGAACAATTTTTATGACCTGCTTTCATTTCAGCCCCGTGATTATTGAAAATCTTGCATTAGAAACTCTGCTTCCATTTCAGATAACTTTGTTGATAAACCACCTTTGTTGATAATTCGCGTCTGACCAATGAGGATCTGTTTTTCAGAATTTCCTAGAGTCTGCTCAAATTCATAAAGTGCTTCTTGCAATGCCACGTGTGGATAACGTGGCTTGGGGTCACTAAAGTCATAACATGTTAAAGTACAATTAGGTTCAGCAAACTAATTCAGTGATCTACAGCCTTTGAATTAAGGAATAATTTAACTTACGATGAGCAATTACCAAATGATACTTGTGTGAGCTATGATTCACACAGTAGAAAACAATAATTGACAATAAACCATCTTGAAATGGTCTTTACTCGATACCGTCAAAGCAATAATGCAGGTTTGGTATTTGGTTGCAACTCTCATACAGAACTGTTTGGAAAAATCTTTAGGGTTCAGAAAATGACATCATTCACACTGATGGTGAGATAGAATATATACTTGTAGAATGGGAGATATCAAACTGGTTTTCGAAGAGGAAGGTAAACTACTGACAATGTATTTGTTCTATAGCAAACCATGGCGAAACAAGGAGAGTTACAACACATATGGTATTTCATTAAAGCCTCTGATAATGTTGGTAGAAGAAAACTTTGGAACAATATGGAGACAAGAAATTTTAATTAACAAAGGTGTTCGATTAGGAAGTTAAATGTTACCGACACTTTTCAATATATATGTATGTGACATGTTTTTGAGATGGAAACAAAATATTAGAACAGGAATAAAATTGACTGGGAAAAATATTTTAAACCTTGTAGTTTATGCAGATAATACTGTCATAAATCAAGAAACTGAAAAGGATCTACAATATGCCCTGCAGCACGTAATTCAGCTATGCAGCACTTACAGCCTAACAATCTCGAAAGACAAAACCAAAATATTAGCATTTTGGTGAAAAAAGATTATCTGTTCAATAATAATATCAAACTATGTAAACATAAAAGATCTAAATTTTAATTATCTAGGATGTGACACAGAAGGACAAAAAGGCATTGATAAAAAATTAGCACAATTTCAATCCATCTGTAGGACTATACATCTAAATCTTAATATTAAGACCCGAAAAGATACTAGAATAAAATTTTATGAAACATTAGTTCTCCCAATATTGCATTATGGCAGTAAGTGCTGGGTTCTAACACAGAAAAGAGTACGCAAAATTCAGAGCTTGGAAATGAGGTTTCTTTGAAGAACAAAAGACTGTATCTTAGAAAACCAGATAAGAAGTGAAGAAATCAGGCAAGAATTGAATGTGAATAGCATAAATAATATAATGGAAATAAGTTGTGTAATGCCAATTGTTTATAGCTTTGAGGCTTAAAAATGTATTTTATTTGCTTTTTTATTTATTTGCTACTGAAACTTGCGTATACAAAAATATTCCAATTCAATTTAGTGACGTATTGTTTAACATCATGAGACTGGCCATTAGACCTGCTCTTCCAAGCAAATTTTGCTCAGCTCCTTTCACCATTTAGCAAAAAAAGCGGTATCACTTAGGCGACGAAAAAGGCAATTTGAATTTAGATCAGAGGCTTCTTTTAAGCTTGATGATCTTTTACATGCAGTAAATCTACAACATTAGACAGCCTGCTTTACTCCTCTTCCAAAGAAAGGGGTTTGAAGGACTTTTTTTTTTTGCCCTTAAAATAAACAGCTTTTATTAGATATGAGCCTGCAAACTTGGGCCCAATACGCTAACCATATCACCAAAGCCACCATGTTTAGTTGACTGATGACCAGGGCTGGCAAAGTAAAATTTGTTGTAGTGTCAAGAAATATAGAATAATAAATAGTAATGAAATGGCAAGATGATTCTCAAATTCGTACATTCTCTGTGTACTTACTTTCCAGAGAATGAATTTAGCATAAACGAGTCAAAATACAAACATTTTCCTATCACATCATATGTTGTGGGAAGGACCTTTTTTTACATACTAGATGACATTCTCAGCAGCAATGGTGCAACGGTTAGCGGGTCAGACTGTTGTACCCAAGTTCGCAGGTTCAAACCCGATCAAAGCTGTGGATTTTTAAGGGCGAGAAAATCCTTCGTGTGCCTTCCTTTGGAGGGGAAGTAAAGCATATGTCATGGAGGAAAGTGTCATGTGAGTAGATTTACTGCATATAAAAGATCCTCAAGCCTAAATGAATCCTCTGAGCTAAATTCAAATCGCCTGTTTCGTCGCCAGAGTGTTACCTCCTTTCTCTGTTTAGTGGGTAAAAGGAGCATAGCGAAATTTGCTAGTCAGATGAAAGAGCCTATGGCCAGAGTCTCGCCATATAAAATATGGCGTCAATTCTATATCCTCTGATAGGAGATGCTTACCAAGAACAGAGAACCTTAATAAAATTTAATGATACTGTGTTCTTCACGGAAAATAAAATTTGCAGAAGTAGATAATGTTTAATTAGAACCCACCTTCGTAGCAAAAAAAGAAAGTTAATGTCAATTTAAAATACATGGTTGGTTAACTTCACATGTTTTAAACATTTCTGTGCGTATTTAAATATTTTTGTGGTGTATTTGCATGCAATTCAGGGCTAAAAGTTGAAATTTTTTCTGCTTCCCTGCTCTAATGATGCAAGTTATTTATGTGTTAATTATGAATTACTATTTGCTATTTATCCTTTTACTCCATATGTCAAATAGTTTTTACTGGTTTTGACAATAAATAAATAGGAAAAAAATATTAAATATATAAAAATTAAACAAACACATTTTTGTGTTTAAAGTAATATTTAGTCATCTGTGGAATTTACATATTCTGAAGTGTAAACTTGTCTCTTTAACCTGTAACAATTTCAAATTTAACCACCTTATTATGACATCCATATTGAAGGCTACTTTTGCGTCACTTTTTTTAATTTAAACTAATATTTTTGTTGGACATTACTCGAGTTGTGTGTTTTGCCAAATGTAAATATCAGCAGATAAAATAGGATTTTCATAGGGAAAAAGAGTGAAAGCTTGGGTGAAAATATAAGGAGAGACAATCCAGAAATTCAGGAGACCATTGGGCACTGTTTTAATGAGCTGTATGAGATGAATTAATCATTATTGATAAAAATTCCCTTGTCTGATAAAAAGTCTTTGCTGTGTACCAGAGATAATAAATGATGTTTGAGGGGATGAATGATGATGAAGTTGGTGGGATTTATTTTGCATTTAAATAATCTACAAAATGTATTACTTAGCTTTCACTTTTTTTCTTAATTCTTCTGATAACTTTGTATTACTTCCTTTGTTTCTGTTTCATTCTAATTCGAAATATTCAATTATTTTGTTGTGTAGATATGATATGCCAGTGCTGTTAGAAATTCTTGCGGCACCTCCTACTGCTGAGTTACTTCCTCTCAGTGATGGAAGAGTCACCCAAACAGATGAAGAGGACATGGGAATGACATATTCTGAACTTTCTGTGTATGGAAGATTAAGAAAGCAGAATTTCTGTGGTCCATACTCCATGTTCTGTAAATTAGTCCATACTTGGAAAGGATCATGCACTCCACAAGAAGTATGTTTTATTGTTTATTTGTGAAGTATTATTTGACTTCAAGTTTGGTTGTGTATAACAGTTTGTATAATTTTCTGTATTAGGTTGCTGAGAAAGTTAAACACTTTTACCAGTACTACTCTATAAACAGGCATAAGATGACAGTCCTGACTCCTTCCTGTCATGCTGAAACCTATAGTCCTGATGATAACAGATTTGATCATCGACCTTTTTTGTATCTTCGAACTTGGGATTGGCAGTTTAAAGCAATTGATGAGCAGGTATGATGTGAAAGTGCATTAATTCAATTCTGAGTTCATTCCTTAGAAATGTAACTTCAGATAAATAAACTAAACTTACTTCACTTAGAAATTTGTAGTATTAGGTCTTGAACAAAAACTAATAAAAATTAACTTGTGAATTCATTGTTGAAATTCAAATTGTAGTGCTGTTTCTTTTTAACAGTTAATGCTTGTTGATTATGAAAGGAAGTTGCATTCAAAAGTGTTTTTTATGCTGTGAAAATTTAAAAATGAAAATTGTTTATTAGATATAATTTTATTATTTAGTTTATGTGGTCTGTTTTTGGAAATATTTTCATGTAGTTTTTGATATCAAGTTATGTGATTACAAATTGGCAGGTTCAGCGACTCAGTCTTTCAGATGACAAGAAGACAAAAGTTAATGAAGATGCTCATGAGAAATGTCCTGCTGCCAAAGCCAATGCAAGTTGTGTGGACACTGGTATGGGAAAGAGGAAACGAGCTATTGATATCAACAAATTACTAACTTGTAAGTTACCTAGCTTATATGTATGCTTGCATTTACTACATAAAGGTGTAAAAAGTCCAGGAAACAATCAATCCCAGTGATATTTTTTTAATTAGGGAATTTGTTGTGGATTTGAGTTCTTTCAACCTTAATAATTTTTGCTCCTTCACATCTCTTTGTGCTTTTGTACATACTGTGGGTGGTTACTGACTTGGGAAACAGAATTGCTTGGGAATGTGTTATTCATTGAAAAAATCAGAAATTTTTATTCTCATTAAAAAGTTATTTTCATTGTAATTCAAATAGGATATTATGATAATTTATGCAAAGTGGAAAAAATCATATGCTTGGAAGTTCTGAATTTTCCCCTACTCCGAATTCCCCCCTTCTTTTTCTTCTCCTCCTCCTCCTCTGCTCTACTGAAGTTTCCTCTTCACCTTCAAAGTATTTTAACTTGCAATGCTATTTCAAGCTATGCTATTTCACTCTGCCGATCTCAAATAGTTTGTTATTTGCATATAGGTGTTGTGGTGTGATATCTTTGGCATTTTTCATAAAATAATTAAAGACGTCATTGCCAACAATATTATTTAATGCAATAGCAGCTTTCGATGGCTTAGCCATCATCATCAGTTGTCTGCTGGGTGGAAGCCACAAAACGACTAGCTGCTATTGCATTAAATAATATTGTTGGCAATGACAACATCTTTAATTATTTTTTGTTATTTGCAGTCGTTGAAAGTACACTTTACTTTTTTGCTTTTTATTTGGTTGTTTTGTTTTTCTTTTATTTCCCTCCAATATTACTTGATGCTGTATCTTCTGAAGGGGATTGTAATTATGTGTATAAAAGAATTGTATGAAAACGTGTGAGGTGTCATCCTTCACGCAGCCATGATTGATTTTGTTGTTTTGTTATTTAAAGGGGAAATGGTGTCCTGAGGGACATTGTCAAGAAATAAGCTTCTGATCTTGTATCTTTCTGATATACTGATTCGAAAAATGATAATTCTTAATTACAGAAGCAATGTCTCAAGAAGGGTTTTGCCTTTCATTAGCACATATTACTGCACCTTTTACTTATGTAGTTATATTGGTTAATTGTGTTCATTTCACCTTTTGATTTATGATTGTGTGTATTGTACGATCTTTTGTACCAGACAAATAATTCTTAGATCATTTCATAAGCATTAAATGATTATTCATATTAGTGCAACACCACAAATAACTACCACAAATTGTATGAAATGTCATTCCGGTTCATGCATTGTATTCGACTGACAAAGGTCTGTGGAATAACATGCCTTCTTTTTTGATATTTTATCAAATTTTTACTTTTGATGGGAATTGTTTTGTCATGAAGAGAGAAAACAATCTGCAAATCTGTGAGAGGAAGCCAAAGAGGAAGTTGCTGATGGAAGAAACGTCTGGTTTCATACCATCAAAGGGGCTTGGAAAGTTCAGACAATAGATTTCTATTTATGAGAACAGCCAAGAAATGTTGATGAAATCAGGTCTTGCGAAAAGACTGCTTTGCCTAGGTGGAGGAGGAGGAGCAGCAGCAGCGAAATTAAGCAGATCTTATTCTCCCAGCTGTGTTCCTAAAAACAAAGAATTTTTATATAGGTTACAGGTACTTTACTTGCTTTACAATACAGCAAATAGAAGTAGCAAAGCCTTCTAAATCTACTGATTATATTGATTTCTCAATAACATGTAATTTATTAACATGTTTTTTGTTTGAAATCAATGATCAATCAACGATGATCAATGATCAATAACATGCAATGTATTTGATGTGATTTGCTTGATCAATTATTATTGATGCATTTATCCATTATTGATAATATGTTTTTATGAAATTTCAAAAACATTTACATACATACTTGGAGTAGTGTAAATTGACAGCTTCTATAGTTTTGACAAAAAATTGATAAATGTAAACTGTTTTGCTGATTTTAGTCAATAATTTGGTTGAAAAATAAATGGAAATATTTGTATTCTAAAGACGTCATAATGCAAAGTTTGAAAATTAATTAATGATTTTGTTAACATGCAAATGCAATCGGTATCTAAATTTTCTGTGTAGGCTATTTTCTCTGAAATGTTGACTAGGAACAGCAGTATTGCACACTGCCAGTCTTATCCTTTGTCGATTATTGAGAAGGATCTTGGTTTTAAGTTAATGTCTTCTGCCCCAAGATGATTCTTCTAACACCCGAGATATCCCTAGCAAATATGGTTTAAATTACCAACTTTACCAAACCAATACACTTTACCAAACAAATGAGTTCAAAAGATTTGAATCTTTTAATTGTCTAAAAACTAATTGGATCAATTAAAACATACCAAAAAATATGAAAAGTAAATAAAGATATCTATGTATAATCTATTTTTGCCTTTAATTTAAATTTCAATCAAGTATTCATTTAATATTACCAATATTATGAAATGGAAAGAATGTGAAAGATCTATAGGAAAATTAAGGGTTGGAGCACAAAAAAAGGTGACATTTAATCAAATGAAGTTCTGGTATTCTACATAGTAATATTTTAGCCAATTTTACTAAGAGCCAGTTAGTGTTTACGCCTCATAAGTTTTATGAAGGGTTCTTTCCATTTGAAATGTGTAGTTCTGACTTGTTACTTCACAAGTGTGAGTAATTGCTATTAATGAAAGTGTGTATTTCTAATCAGCAAATTTTGTGATGTGCTAGTAAGCTAAGTGAGTTCGACACAGAGTAATTCTTCAAACTGGTTTTGGCTAAATACATTACTAACTTGGTGCAAGATGCATTACCGTACACTGCTCATTTACCATAGGGACACTTTGTTAAATTTTAACTTTCCTTTTCGTAATTCAACTCTAGTATCTTCATTGAAATATTCATTTTGAAAAATGCAAAAGGAAATAGAAAAGTTAATGGGTAGGAGATGGACCTGGTATCAGTTGTCAGAAAAGTCAAAGTAGATCATGAGGACCCTGAACATTACTTCAGTGCATTGTAGTAACCTTTAATCTAATTCATTTTAACAACAAAAGTGTTAATATTATTTGGAACAAGTTTTCGTGTACATTGTGTGTGTGTGTGTGTGTGTGTGTGCGTGTGTGTATGTAGGTATGTAAATTTTGTTGTATCTTTTATTATATATCAATTTGTTTTAGCGGAGAAACATCATGGAGTTGTTGTACCTAACCAGTTAAACACCTCCCCTGCATTGTCATAAAGTCTTGTGGTACTAGTGGAAATAGTCTTAACAAGAAGATCATTGTTACACATATAGAATGTTTCTACAGTCATTGAAATCATTGCTCATGTATCATATGTGCATGTGATGTATATGTGGGTAGAGTAACGCACTTTTTCAGACATGAAAGAGATATTTCATGTTCTGGTACAATGAATTGCACATCATTTGTAAATGTAGAATCATTCCTGCAAAACATGATATTCATTGTTACCCAAGTAATATGTACAGGTCCATTTAACTATTACTTCTCACAGATTTAGTGAAGTTGTACTTGTGGCACAGGTGATAGAAATGAGTTTGAGATATGAAATTCCTCAGCAAGCCTGCTTATTTATCGATACCATTTTTCTCACACTAAATGAAAATATGCTAGAAGCTGTGAAGAATGTTTCTGAAAGGAATGTGAATATTCACCAATAATTTTGAGTTATAATAATGTTCTTTAAAAAACTAATGTATTATTTAAAAGAATTTTTAAAATGTGTTAAGAATCAAAATTATATGGACCTATATACATATTTGAATCAGCTCCCATAAATAGTAACCGTAAATTAACAGTAAAGGTATTATGAAACATTTACATGTAATAAAATAAAAAATTAAACATCTGTATGAAGTAATTCATTATAATGCTTTGAGAATAACTATATTTACATTGAAACATTTTTATTGATTGAGTAGTGAGCATAGTAGAAATTATCCTTGATCAGCATGTCTCCAAAAATTGTTTCACTTTCATGGAAGCTCAGGCTCGGATAATTTAAATTGTTACTTTAAGAAAATAACTTTACATATTGATAACTAATTAAAACAACAACTGTATTGAAGTTTTCTTGGATTGTGAAAGAAACATGAACTGAATTTAACCTAATGAAGAACATGTTAAAGTTTTATTCATATCTGGTATTTTTAATCGGGTAGTACATAACTGTGATTGAAATAAACTCTTTGTTCTAATTTCATGCTACTTACAACTGCCAAAATTCAGCATAAATGCTGATGTACATTTATGGATTTTTCAAAAAATGATTTTCAGTGAATAAGGTATATTTTCAGAAACAGTAGTGAGTGATATCTATTTTACCTAAAATATATTCTGAAGAGTTATACTACTGTTGTCTCTACTTAATGTTACAAATTTGAAAAAGTGATGTACATACAGTACTTTAACTCATTGTCAATTCTCTAATAATGTATTGGTATCCCATTAATGTTCCAAAATTCTTGTCTTTCTCATTATCAGAGCCCCCAGCTATTAGTAACTATTATAAAAAATTAAAAGATCATTGTATGTACCTGTTGAATAAATAAGATTTATCATGAATTCTAAGAACTGGAAAGATTTTATTGAGCAATGACAGTTTTCAAAATACTCTCATTAATGAATTGACTATTACATAACCCATCGTTGAAGACTAAATTTATCACTGTTGAGTTTCAGTGACATAGCATGACAAAATCAAACAGGTAGAGAGTAGTAGCATCAAGGCAGGAATTTTTCGAAGCAGTGATCTTCAAATCTCAGTATTATGTCCCATACAATTTTTAATACTTAAACATACATTATTTTTAAAAAGTTCAAGTTGAACTCAATGTTTCCTGGAACACACAGAGCCAAATGATGAATTGTAGCATTCTGAATCATTCTGGGTTAGATAGACCCTAGCATTATGATGTACTGTGCCCCCAGAAGGATGCTCCTTACTTGAGTTTCTGTGATGTACACACAATTTCCTTGCGCAGAATTTTGTCTGGGGAGATCTGTCTCCCCTTTAGTTCTTCACTTGGGTTTCTACTAGTGTTCGCTGGTAGGGAACTGACTTATCACGATTTCTGCTTTCCATTATGAACAGTGTCAGATTTAATGAAGAATGTGTTCTGTAGAAAAATATATTTTGAATACTATTAATCTTTAGCTTGTATTTTTCTTTGACGAGTTGACTGTCAATCTTGCTTCCCCTCATGCTATGTCACTGATCATTCCAACTGTGAGTTTGATACATGAAGATTTGGTTAGAATGTTTGAATTTGATTTTAAAATTTACTGAAAAGGATAATAATGAATGACTAATCACATTTCTTAGGATTGAAAATTTAAAAGAGATTGAACTGTGATTGCATATTATTTTTTGTAAAATCAATGAGAAAGGTAAGGAAAGAAAGTGAAATAAGTGTGATAATAGGTAATGATATCATTACAGTAAAAGACTGATTATTAAATTGGAACATATTAAACAAGAGAGAATCATAAGTTAATTCCTTTTTCTAGTATTTCCTTATGTAAAAAATGTCTGCTGCAAAATGAACGTATCTTAGCTAACTGCAAAGCAGGCAGAGCTTCTTTGTGAGTACATGTGAACTATGTTGAGCAAGGTATTACTGCTACAAAAGTGAGTACTAGCCACTCACTTTTTCTTCATACTTGGAATTACAGCACAGCTCAGCACAGCACATAGTTTAGCATGTAAGATTCTAAATGAGACTTGTCTAGACTGGCCAAAATAAGTATAAAAAAATGTGTGACTAGTACTTGTGCTTTTTGTTGTTGTTGTTGTTGTTGTTGTTGTTTTTGGCCCTAAATGATTACATTGAATACTTACACTTATTTTTGATAATTGTTCATGAACCATTTCAGTTGGGACAGCCAATATTGGAAGTGCCTTTGTGTCAGTAGTATTTTGAATTAACAGATTGAAATCAGCTTCCAAGTAATAATGAAATATTGATCACTTCGTTCTTAACCTTTATTTACTTTAATCTGTTGCATCAAATGCTCAGCATTAATGAAATAATGTCTTGTTTCATGTGTTGCTTTTCTATTCATTTTACAGCAAATACTCAATAACCTAATACATTCTGCTCTGATATTTTCTTACTTTTTGCCCAAGGAGTTCTGAAATTCGTTTTTCATTAATTTACTTTTTATTAATTTTATTGTTATAATTATTCAATAATTCTGTATGAAACCATCTTCATGTCTTCATCTAGCATTCCATTGGCTGCCATACACAGTAGACATTTATTTTGTGTATGCTCTGCACTGCATGGCTAATATATATTTTAAGGAAATGTAGATGGATTTGTGGGCATTAATTTTATGCTACTTATACATGGTATGAATAATTTATATTAGTTTCTTAATGTCTTATTTAATTTCTCTGTGTTTTAATTTCTATGCCATGCAAAACATATTTGAAAATTTTTATAATTATTTTGTACAAGTCATTTATAATTGAATTATACAAAACATTTAAGATTAGTTTATAGATAGAGGTTTTGATGCAAATAGATATTAATTATGCCAATTTAATTGTACCATATCTGTAAGGTGACAAAAGTAACTAAAACAAATTGTACATTTTGATTTATAAATTATCATAACTGTAAATTTCAGGAATATCTGAGCCAAATTGTTCAATGTAAGGACAGGTTATTTGTTACCATGATATTACTTCGTCCCAAAATGTAAAAATTACTGGAGCATTCATGCAACTAATTTATTGCTTCAGGTTTGCATAATACCTTTGTACCTATCGTACCTGTCAGGATTGCCAATTGCTAAGAGAGTCTGAAGCAATCTGCTTGTAGCAAGCATGCTCCAATATTTTTATCATTCAGAGATGAAATAATAACACTGCCAATATAACCAGTCCCTATAGTGTACTGAAGAACATGCTTAGCTGCTCTTGATAATTTCTATATTAAGATAATTTATAGAGCGAAATATACACTTTGTTTCAATTAGTTCTGCCACATTCATTATTCGCAAAGAACTCACATTATCCGCTCGTCATCATCGTGCTTGTTTACTTCCCTCTGCTCCCTTCCCCTCTCTCTTCTTTTCTCTCCCTCTTTTTGCCAAAGGGATGATTCTGTCTTGAATAATATTATGCACTAATTTTTATTGTTTTAAGACTAAGAAAGAATGGATGGATTTTGTATGGAAGATGACTGAGTAAAGCATATAAATAGTCTTATGCATGAAATCACCAGATTCACGTAAACAGTGTTCATTATTATACTTTATATTCTAGATTCCACTTTTATTGTAATTACTGAAACTATTTCATTAGTATGTGTAAATATAAATTTATTTTTGTATACAAAGTAGTTTTATCCTACTTTATGAGTACTTAATTGCGATACTCTTAATTATACTTGATTAAAATGAACTTGTATTGAAATTCATATAAATATATTTACTTCTTTATGCAACAAATAATTTTTCTTATTTGATTGATTTTTCTTTCCTTTTATATTTATTGTGTTCATTCTAGAATTGAGTTATATGTTGGTGATAAACATGTTGGCTTAGCTTATTAAAAACTATAAAGGATTGAAAATTTCATTTCCCTTGATTTTCCAGAATAATTACCTCTCGTTCACACATTGGATATACACCAGAATCATAGTAATATTGATATCCAGCCAAGTTTTTGTTGTACATTAAAATTTCACCAAAAATTACAAAGAATGCAAAAGTTACCAGTGCAAAAACAAACAAAACACTGCAAAAGTGGAATTAAGAAGAGATATATATTCTGATAATATGTGCGTGTTAAAAGTTGATTGAAAAGAGACACAAATTCAATATACAAACATGTATCGTCTTCATAGATAACGTAAAAAAAGCTTGTGATAACATTCTGAAGGGAAGATTAAGGTCAATTTTGGATAGAAGAAGCATACCAAAACATGTAATCAAAGTTATTCAAAGCATGCATAAAGATAGCCAAATTAATATAAGATCAAAATCAGGTAAACCCCTCAAAGAATGTATAAAAAAAGGAATGAGACAAGTGTGCTGCATGTCTCCCACTTTTTAATATTTATCTTAATGTTATCAGAATATGGAAGCAGAAGATGAAGTTTTTTAATTTTACAGATATTTTTTAGTAATAAAAATTTTATAATGACACTTCTGTTCGTAGAATTCAGACTGCTGAAATGAAGTTCTTAAGGAGTTGTATTGGAGACACAAGGAAAGGCGGAATTCATAATGAAGAGATACGTAACTACCTAGGACTTTGCAATCTAAACGGAAAAATTGACAAATACAGGAAAACATGGAGAGACCACATTGATAGAATTTAGCCCACACGAATACCGAAATAGATTCTGAAATATAAGCAACGAAGGAAAGGAACATAGGAAGACCGAAGAGAAGATGGACCAATCAACACCAGGCGAATGCCGGAGTAGTACCCTAACAAACGGATCACGTGCAATCTTTCCTTCTCTTTCCGTGTCCTATCTTCCTTCCTTTACTTAAACGTACTTACCTGCCCATTGTACTGACCACCTGCCCTGCGTACTTACCTACCACCACTCACGTTGGGCGCTTAGAGCGTGTTCCGCGTGGGGAGGTGAGCCCGCTGGTGGGAGATTTTAGGTTGAGGGAAAATCCCGCTAGCCGCCGAGTGGGTCAGCGCCGGATGTCGCGATGCAGTGGGGGAAGGTCATCGTCACCTCTCGCGATCAAAACTTGCACTACACTTACGGGTCTAATGACCTTAGTAGTTGACTCCCCCATCACTAACCAATTTTTGGTTGTTTTGCCAATTCACAATTCAAATGTAAAGTGGATAAGCTAAAAAGTCATAACTTTGAGCAAAATGGAATCGACACATTACGTGACGGACGTGAAGACATCGTTGACGAAATGTGTGCGCGTGGGGAATTATCTACAGATGTAAAGCCAAAAGGGAAGTTACCGTATTTGGAGTAACGGGAGGATTTCACGAAGGCAGTAAATGTGTTCCAATCTGGTGAATAGAACAATCGCTAAACTCTTGCTAACGTGCTACTGCGCAAAGGAGATAAAACTAATTGAAGTTAATCTTCATACACCTGAAACGTTGCAATGAAAGGTGTGGTTATTAGCATAAACATCATGAGAAAATATTCCGAAAAGAAAGGAACCATAAGACGAAGAAGTTGGTGACGTATGTGCGTTAGCAAAAATACATAGATTGTCAGTCAAGCAAAGAATGAATCGCCCAACAGCGATGGCTGAATTAATGCATGCAGACGTAAATGAGCCAATAACTACAGAATTTGTTAGAGGAGCACAGTATTTTGTATGTTTGAAGAATAGTTTCATCTAGTTTTGCTCAATGTCCTTTTGAAGCAGAAAAAATGATATGTGACGTATTGGAAACATTTTTGAATGAAGCGAAGACGAACATGTTAAGCAATTTAGATATGATGGCGGTAAAGAATTATATAAGATAATTGCCGTCTTACTGACATGATGAAATACTGACATCCTGAACAAAATGGTGCAGAGGAGCGTGAAAATAGAATTGTTGAAACAGCACGCTCTATGCTAAATCCCTGGAAATTACTAAAAGGATTATCGGCATAAAGCTGTAACACTGCATCATTTACTTTAAATCGTACTGTAAGATGCTCAGGTCAAAACAAAGTACCTTAGGAGCTGTAGTATGGTCGAGATGGGGAAAGCTGTCATCAGTGAGAATTTTGGTACTTATTGAATGTTATGGTGATGTAAACAATTATAATTCGAAGATTGACAACACAGCTGTGCGTGGCGGATACGACAAATTTGGATCCCCGCTAAGAAAAAAGACGTCATGAGCCATGATGTAAAATTCAAATCAGAAGTTGTCTGTAGCGTGTGCAGTGATATAACACAATTCGAAATTCATGAAAAAGAAATTTCATTGTTAAGCCAGACTGAATTTACGACCAAGGAGTATGAAAAACAATGAATCGAAGAAAATTATAAAGAAAATTCACAGTAAAGCCAGATTTTCTCACGGAATCAACTTCCAAAGGAAGTCAAAGTTCGAGTGAGTCTACAGAAAATCCAAATTAAGTGTCTTCAAAACAAGAAGATGATTTTCCAGAAGTAATGGTTAGGAAGAGTCCAAGATAATCAACATAGCCATCCTGGATAAACGGCAATCATCGCCGGAACAAGTGCTGGTAAATACAGAGATACAAACTCAATGAAATAGTGAATTCTAACGAGAGAAAACAATAAATATAGGTTATTAATGGAAAAAGTCTCCATTTTAAAACAAAATTACACATGGGTATTAGCAAACCTTTCTTTTAATGTGCAAGTTCTGCCAATTCGATGCTTAAGAAAACAACGAGCACATGAAGTATTAGTTTCGAAGGACTTTAGCAAAGGCAATGTTCAAAAGCGAAGACATAATTATATAGAAACTTTTAACCCTGTAGCGCGATATATTTTTCGAGCCCTGTTAGCTGTTGTTGCGTTTGAGAATTTGGAATTAGAACAATTTGATGAGAATGAGCCTCCTGAATGGATTTCTTAAATATGTGTACGTTGTGCCAACAGAAAAGTTTATCGACGAAATTGGACAATTGGTCTCTTAAAGAAAGTGTCTTCGGGATTAAGCAGACACCTCAATTGCTGGAACAAATTGATCTTCAGAAATTTATGAATGAATATTCTTAAAACCTGTCCCAGACCTTAACTCTTCCACAGACCGCGAAACGTCGACTCTATGTAGCAATTGACATTAATGAGATCGCGCGGGAAAATGATAAGAAAGAGATTGAAATTTTTTGAAAAGATTGCACGAAGAATTCAGAAGAGCAGTGGGTTTTTAGACCATTTCCTTGGCTCGAAAATCAAAGCTATACTCAAAAAAGCTCTCACAGATATACTGAACCTTCCCAAAACGTTAAAACAATTGAACATTTGCAATTTTTAAATATTCCGAGATTTTCAATTACGTTATTTCAAGATCTAGTTTTAAAAGGCAGATTTTTTAAGGAAAAGAAACTCATTAATATCCTAGTTTTCCATTTTAATTTCTTGTTTGCAATTTTCAAAAGTACAGAGAGTTAGCCAAAATATGCGACCCGCACCATTTTTTAAGCTTCATTTGTTCTATTCAAGAATTTTTTTTTTTTTAATTTGGAGCTGTTTAAAAAAGTATAAATTGCATAAACTTCAAGAGAAATGCGCGAAAACTATGTTGTTGTTTTTTTCAAAATGTTGTGGGCAAACTCTGAAAAAATTCTAAACGTTTGCAATTTTTGAAAATTAAAAGACTTTAATGAAAATGAGATTTGCGCCATTTTTAAGTTATCTGTGGGGAAAAGAGTACCTCCAATAATCGAAATATACGTTTCAAACTCGCAGAACTCAAGTTCGTCCAGAGCGATCGGGGAATTTCAATTTGGAGAAAATCGTCTGAACGGTTTATGCGCTAGCGTTGCGTCTATCGTCTGAACGGTTTATGCGTACGGACAGACTTGTTACCGCCAATATTTCGGCGTCGAGGACTCCAAAAACGTGGATTCAGATTATATAACGTGTTAAAGAAAATTTTTTCTACAAATAGGAAAAAGATTTATCCACTTTCTCGATATCAGGGCCCACAGAACCAGGTTTTCTGTAGAAAAATTCTTTGTGTTTGCGCAGCAATTAGATACTTTCTCTGAGCACGTAGTAAGGTAAGAAAATGAAAATGGTATAAACTAGCATAAAATTCTTACTTAATGCGTATAAATAATTTTGCAGTAATTTACAACTCTGGAAGACCAAGCGCAGGAAAATGCATTTTGTGAGACTGATATATTTGTGGCTCTAAATTTTTCGTCAACCACGGCGAGTGTTAGAAAAGCGAGATAAAATACAGGCTAACTAAAATGCACTAAATGTAAATATTTCCTCAGTGAGCAGCAGAGAGGCGCAGTTCGTAAATTAACTTCTATTTGATGTTCAAATCTACTTCTGCCGACATTGAGCTGCAATACAATTACTTGCGGCTCCTAATTTTAGGAACTGGAGGTGCCAAATCTACACCATTGAACATAGCAACAAATATTGTGCAACAAATTGTGTGAAAGAATCCGTCTGACCCGGTTTTTTTATTTATCCGCGTACTCCGACCCGCCATTTCCAACAGGTACCACCTTCCCTACTTCGACCCGTCGGCTCTCCCCACTTCGCCTCACCCTGGCCGGAACTGTCCCACCCCTCCCCGCCTCTCCCGTATTGCTGCACCGTTATTCGTATAGCGAATTGTAATGAATCAACAATTACATAAATAACACGTTTGTCTCTTCAATGGAACCCCGAACTAGTTCAATACTTAACTCTGTTTTAAATACCCACCAGTATTTGTGAATCAAATAGAAAACTATAAACAGTTTATCAGTGGCATTGCTCAAACTACAGGAAATAGCATTATCACATTTTTAAGAGTACGTACT